ATCCAGAAGATTCAACAGTTTTTTCTATCAAGTGATATTGAGCGTGAAAATTAGGTTAGGAGCTCTCTGTTAACGAAATCCAAAAATCGAGAACCAAGAACAGTTTTTGCAGTGTCATGTCATTTGACCTGATTGCCGCCTGGTCATCAGATTTATACAACCACTTAAAGTTTTATCTCTGCATCAGATACCATTTTATACTGTCATATGCTACACCGATGGAAAAATCATGTATAGCTGTGTTTGTCAAACTAAAGCCTGGAGTGAATGATGAAGCTTGGGAGAGAATAAAACTTGACTTCATCATGTAGTGAGTATTCCCTTCGTTAGCACCTTTTAGTGACAAAATTAAATCTTAGTGGTTTGATGTCTATAGTAGATAGAATTGCAAACAAAATGATTCAACTCATCTGTGAGAACAAAGTATCTCATAAAGCAACTCTCATTCATACTGATAACTGAGAAAACAGAAATTTATTCTTGAAACAGCATGTTATGCTTTGCAATTTCTAGAATGCGTTTATTTTATATTCGGTCATTATATGCATCACATGAAAGATGAAAATTATGAATATTGGCAAAACTAATCGATTGTCTCCTTCTTGTATCCCTCATGACTTTTAATTGTGAAGTAAACTCATGTAAATTTGAGCTCAAACTTTTCACACATACACCTGTGTCTACAAACTAAGTATGTCAGATTTGTGTTATTAGCACTGTCAAATAAGCAGCTACCCGGTTCAGCATCTGCAATGTTATCATCTTGCAATCGCGGATCAATATGAATAATAATCTTAGTTATAAAAACTTTCTCACATAGAAGTGAATACCTAAAACTGTTATCATTAGTTGTATTAATCAATGGTTAGCAGTGAGAGTCAGACGAAGTATTTGGTTAACAAGGGAACAGATATGATATTAGTCAAGGGGAAATTTGGTGACATATACCAGGCTACTGTGCTGAATTTATTGTTAGAATATGAAAATCTTCTCCAGCCCACTGTGCCATCACCGGCTTTGCCTGGGAATATAATAAGCATCATTTATTGTTGCTTCTATAACTAATATTTTGATTTTGTATAGACGTTTATGACTCACTGGTTTCAATGTCTTCATACACCATAATTGTTTGATCGTTTCTGCTTTGTAGTAATATAATACCCTAAGACGTAGTAAATGTTATACCCAAATATCTAACTTCTATTAACTACATTGCAGGTATGTTTAGGAAATAATTCGTCGCCTGAATATTATGGAAAAACCACTCTATAAGCGACACTTATTTCCACCCACAGGTAACTATCTTTAATTCATATCCAACAGCGTGCCTTCTGCCTAAAATTTACAGTTATATTCAAGTTAGAACGTAGTCACTTGTTACATTGTTTTATCTAAAATCAAAAATATCAGGTGATTTCAAGCCAAGAAGGTAAATTAAATTTTTCTTTACCCAGAAATCCTAATTTTTTTTCACTTGATAAAAAACAAAACTCTTCATGTCAAGACCAAATTTACTACGAATGCCAGACTTTAAAGTGAGTAGATGACACAACTTGGAATGAGCGAAACATAGGATTAATTATGTTCTGATAAAAAATCGATGAAAGTTACTTTTTTCCAAAGTTCTTTGCATGTATTCTAGTTTTTCCCTTTGAATGTAAACCTGTTCGCTTCTCTAGATTTTCATCTACCTCAGAAAGATAGGAAAACTGAATTACTTAAAGGCAGCGTAAGTGGATGATAACAGAATGCATATTAACTGTTCGGGGAGAGGAGGTATCTGAATAAAAAACGCTTTATCATGATATACAGTTAAAAGATCTAATTGACCTGCCTTCGGTTGAAAAGCAAACCAAAGGAAACTTATTTTTCCTCAAAAGTCTAAGTTTATTTACGCGCTAAAAAGAAAGTAATGTGGTTAAAATCAGAGTTATCAGATTTCACGGTGGTTAACTTGATGAATGGAGAGAAGTGTTTTGTTTTATTTGAAAGCCACCTAATCAGTATGCGTGTCTGTCCTGGATTTCATTGCCAGCCATAGCCAAAATGAAATTGAAGGTTTTTACCGTAGGATGACATCATTTAGACAACCACTGCAAGTCTTGGAGTGCTTAATGGTTGTTTATTTTTAGTATAAAACTCCTCAGCAGTGCACAACCATGATATTCTGAAGGATCTGACCCACGACTTTCAGGTTTCGTGGCGACAATCTTACCATTGAGCCACTGGGTCGAAGTTCAATGTTCCACATTTTCATTCAGGAAGCAAGAGCAATGTTTGCGAAATGGATTGATCTCGTGTCTATTTCGTGGCTTCTCCTTAACTGCCAAAAGTATGGAATAAATATGGAAGAAGAACGGGATAAAAATAAAAACATGTTTCCCACTTCTGTCATTTCGTTATATAGCGAGACCACTATCCAGTATAGTCACTGAGTATTTGTCCTGCCATCCAAATTGCTTTCACATGCACATCACGAGTTCTCATTAGATTTTTAAGAGATTGCACCTCAAAGCATATCGTCAACTGGAGCAAATAACAAAATATTGGACCTTATTACTAGTCTCAGCCAACTGTAAGAGGATACAGTTGAACCAAATGAAGAATAATTGAGTAAAGTGAGAATACTTACCGCGAACTCTTCTACATGCCTAAAGGTTGGTAACTTACTGATTACCTGAAATGAAAAATAACCTGGTTTCTGAACAATGTAGCACCGACAATACTGAAACAACAGGCAAGCTTAAGTCAACATATTTTTACTACGTTCACTTAATCAGGTGCTTGAAAAACGGATACAATTCCTAGTTCAAATAAACAGAATGTTCATGTCTGTAATTTCGCACAGAAAATAGTAAATCCATATATGAGAGAGAAAATTTTCAAACTTTTGTACCATTCTGAAAGATGACGTTAAGTCATGAACGATTATTCAGTTAGCTAGTTGACATATGAAAAGAATTAAAAAGGCTGCAATCTACTTTTCATATGATAGTCCTGAAGGTCATGCATGTTACCAGTCAGTGTATGCTGGGAAAGAATATTTTTGTCAGTTATTCATAGAATTTATTTATTGTCTAATCATTACTTCCGCTTTTATATAAAATTGAAAGTTGCATAAATCCACCACTTAACAATTCCTCTTGTGACTGCTTCCACCGCCTATAGTAAAGGAAGACTAAACTAAAACATTTAATGTTGACGTTTCTCATATACGCTGAAAAATCTTATAAACTGTAAATAAACCATATAGAACAGATACATAACTACTGAACCAACTGTGAGCTTTTGATGTCCTAATTGAATTGATCTCCTAAAGCTGAATCTAAAAAGAGCAGATAATTGAAAATTCCCAACCGCTTCACCTATAATCTTATGATTTATACCTGTGTCAATTAATTAGCATCTGAAGTTGAAGTTATTGATTCAGTGATACACTGTAACTACGTATTTCAGACACATCAAGCTTTAGTACTCATTGTTCATGCATTAAGTCTTTTCGAATAAGTAGATCTTATCATGGATACTTTCATTAAAGTAAGCTTTTAATGTTGATATTGAAGGAGAAGAGCATTTATAAGGTCCTTTGAACTTCGCCGATATTTCATAAAGGTACCGCTGAAACTAGAAAAATCCCGAAAGCTTCCTCCATCCCTCGCAAATTAACGAAAAGCTTCATGTTGCATTAGAATAAAGTCAATGTTGCTCAGATTTTTCGAATTCGTTAGTTTATGGATGCTGCCATTTGATCGTTCGTATTTTTCTTAAGAATAAATATCACATATCTACCTTTTTCAGTGGTATTTTTTCCGTACTTAAGCAGCTTCCCAAATATTTCTCAGATAGAGAACTAGAGCCGTTTACTTTTTGAAGAGCAGTTAACATATATTCTTAAATCTAGCTGATAGCGTAATACGTGTGCATGACTTTTGTTTTACCAAAATCGATGAAATATATGCAGAAGCGGGTCTTCCATACGAGATGTTTTATTCACCTCAAGTACTAAATAAGGTTTCAGTCGCTTTTCAAGTGACGTGCCAGTGAGCATATCTGAAATTCTGGAAGAATTCACAAACTCTATTGTTTTCTTTATAACCAGCTGTCTTATCTTTGAGAGAGTGGAAACGTAAATCACTTGCGAAAGTCGAATTCTCATTATATCACCACAGATGGCCTTGATATTGTCAGGTCCTGTAGAACACACTACGTCAGTGAGTAAAAATTTAAAGAATTTCAAATCAGATAAAAAAAAGCTTGTTTTGGTTGTTGGGACCATTCTAAAATATTTCGTACTTGAACAAATATCTTAAATTGAAATTTGAGTGACTGAATACATATTCACTTCATTACTTAACATTTCCCATTCAAATCATCCACTTTACTCGACTAAGTAACTCACTAGTAGTTGGCCCATTTGCTTCCTACGAAAGCATCCATAACACCATACATTTATTTCTTGTTTCCTGTTCATTTCGCCTGTAATTATTTGTTCTTTGTTCTTTGTTTCCTGATGACAGTATATCCGTCCACCATCACAGTGGGGTACAGCGTATTCTATATTGCTACAGTTTGTTGCGTTGGAGCAGCCTTTGTTTCATTCAAAAACTATGAACTCATATTCTCTGTGCAAACGAACCGTTATCCAAGTCACCAAAACTTATTTAGTAGAACAGTTGTAAAATCAACCATATATGAACAACTAAAGAGTATGCACTTGATTGGGAAAGATTTTTTTCAGAGAAAACAAAGATTTTAAAGTAATGACTGCTAAGTATGAATAGAAAATTAAAACACTTGCCAATAACCACAAATAAAGAAAGCCGCAACGGAGATATCTAAAAGTAAATGCCATGTTTTTAAAACCTATGGAACTAGCGACGTTGTTCTGTATGATAATGTCTGAAGTCTCCTAAAATGACTGTGAATATAATGATCTTGCTTAATGTTAAAGCAATCTTATTTCTTAGTCCTCCCAAGGCTAGTTTGAGAAGAAAGCAACTTTGTCAAATGATATTGTTTTTTATAAGTATGTAAATTACTTTTATTATCAAATATGATGCAAGAAACTAACATGTTTTGTTAAAAGATGGGTAAAATGAAGTATGAGAATTGTTTGTACACATTAATTTATCTAGAACTGTTGGTTCAACATACACTGACGTTTATTTTGTTATTCATTACAGTCGTTATTCACCCATATAATATGAAAAGGAGGCATAGGTATCGAAAAAAACAAAAACGCTCTCAAATATAGGAAGACGGAAGTTAACACTGTGTATGCTACCATGTGTCACTGACATCGGCTAACAATTAAAAAACTGCATGTTTGTTCGTAATCATTAAAGCTGCTTTTCTGACTGATTCATGTAAGCATTCACAACAGATGTCACAACTTGCACATATATGTAATGAGTTTAAAAATTATTCGGATGCGTATCATAAAAACATAATATATGAACAGCTATATTAATGGAGAGACTTTGTGAATCAAAACATTGAAAGCAAGAGGTTAGATAAGAAGAAGGAAAATATCTCATTCTCAAAATAATCGGAAGGACATTCATCCCTGTAACAACAGAGATCTGTGAGTGAATAAAAACAAACAATTTTAGCTCATTACCTATTCAGTTGTTAGTGAAATGTATTGGGAATCGAAACTTTTGTTTTTAATGTTTACAGTGATGTGTAACCGTCCTTTCTCGGCATATATTACACCGAACCTCACAGCACCTGAAAAGTAAAAGAAGTTGCATGTTGAAGTGTACTAATAATGGCAAGCTATTTATGAATAAAGATATCCCCGTTTTAGTATGTCATCAGAAGTCCAGTGTTTTCCTTCGCGTAGCAACGAAGAAAGTCTATAACTGAAGTGAAGTTAGGGAACTCTCTTCACCTCGATCTAAATTCACACTACTTTTGGTAGCTATATTCCCATATCGTAAGCCTGGTTAATTAGAGTTTAGCTCAATTCAGAACGATGATACTCACACTAGTTGGTTAATAAACAACAAACTATATCTATCATCTCTTGATTTGTTTTTAATTAAGTAAAGTGTATCGTTTGAAAGGACTCACTGAGGATGAATGAAAGTTTTGTTCAGTTATGATGAATTTAGTTAAAAGTGATCTTGAAATTTCAATTGCATACGATAAAAGTTTTTCGATCTTACTGCAACAAATGTACCTTCTTGGAACAAGGTTGTACCACTATACTTTGAAAAGTTTAACAAAGACATACCATTAGCATTATGTTATGTATAATATGCCAGTATCAATGTACCAGTGTTCTATTGCACACTGTTTAATTCCGAAATAGGATAAAATAGTTATGGATAGCGTATCCCATTTTCTTTCGTAAGATGTCAAACATGTTTTGAATTTATTCATTTCCTTGAAGATTCCAGGTTGAACATTCTTTATACTATGAAGCGAACAGAGTCTGTCTTATCTTCGTTTACCTACTGACTGTCATCTATGTCAAGCAACACTTAAGCTTGGAGCCATCTGTTTTTTCATATACTTTCCGAATAGTTCATACTAGCGTGCTAATTGAACATGCCTCATTAATCTAAATCAAATTACTTTTTCTTATGATAAAATCAACTTAGCGCCAATTACTATGATGGATGTATATGTTGTGCTATTCAAATTGGCAGTGCTTATGTAATGCTATTGTGACAGCGATTGCATTCCGATAAGTTATCTTTGTCAGCGCCACTGCTATGACTTTTAGTAACCCTGGTATAACTGAGATTAGATGAACTGTTTGACATTTTCTAGAAGTTGCTGGATTATGTGAACTGCTGCAGAGACTGAAGTATGCAGAACCAGAATAAGAGTTCTTGATTTTCCTGTGAATCTTATACTTCTGGCTATCATAAATCAAGAGGTCTAGTGAAAATGCTGGATAATCATATATCACAAAAGTGGTTCATTTACCACTTTTCCGTAAGAAACCGCACCCTGGTAAAATTAGCCAGGTGCAGTACAACATCACTACTAATAGTAACACCAACAACGATTAGGGTGTAAATGCATCCAGTTAATAAGTCTCTAATTCTGACTACTGCGAAATATAATCATGGTTTTAATATGCATTTCAAAACTATCAGTAAAACTCCAATCAAATGAAAGCCAACATACTCCTCTACCATGACAAATTGTTGCCACCTCATCACATATATCCAGAAATAAACCCATTTTAAATCCTTCGAGCTACTCCTAGGATTTGTATGGAAGTCAGGAAGATAATTATCAACTGGCTGGTCAATGTATTAAACAATAAGGGTTTTGCTAGTCAATAAACTATACTTTCGACAGGCTTAGTAATGTAAGTTAACTATTGTGACCACAAATGAGTCTGGAAAGTTAAACTGCTATGGAAGAGAGAAGCAGAGCTAACATCACGAGTCAATGAGAACTACTCAAGCTAGCTGGTTATATGCTAAGTAGCTTGAAAATTCCATTAGTATGCTGAAATTATAAGAAAGTATCTTTAAAAAGGAAAATGATAGTTCGTCTCCTAGACAACTGTAATTAGACAGGTGAAAGAAGCAGATAGAAGCATATGATTCCTAACCATTTCAGTAACAAAAGGGTAACTGAAAACAGAATTGCTGACGTTTAACTCTTTCCAATATGCTGAATCAAAATCGTTTCAACATACTAGTTGCTTGACGTATTTTGATTTATCCAGATTCATCGCTGCAGAATCCATCTTTTCCAACAAAATCAAATTCCAAATAGCTCATCTCTTTTTAGCGAAAGCAGGAAAAATTGTGAGTCAACAAAAATCATACCAAAACTTTGATAAAAACGTTTTAGTGATTTATCTGCAGAAATACGGACCTTCGGAATAATTTTGATGGCTAATGTTGCCTTAATCATTTTGAAAGAAGAGAATGTTTTACAGAATAAATTCAACTCGTCAACATTATCCAAAACGATCACTCAAGAAGTATTCAAAAGTATCTTCTGAGAGAAAGAAATTAATAGCATTCGAAATTAGGCTTGAAAAGATTGTCAGAAGAATTATAGCCTCTCTTACACAAACCTATCCGACTGCGAAGTTCTCCCCCCTCTGTAGCACTAACTTGGCTATGCACGAATCCAAAATGATCAGGTACCTCGAAGACGTCATCTTCAACTGTGTCTATGAATTCATATGAGCTTGTGAAAACAAATTCGGAAAGAGAGAAAGATGTTTTTGAACATATTTCAAACAGCCTGAGTTTGAATGTTCTGCACTTGACTGAAGATAGTCTTGAAAGTAGTGAGCTGACAAATAACTTATATGCTGCCCCGTTTCACTGAATCACTATTTTATTATTATTATTAGTCCCTTGAGTTCCTAGTGGAACATAGGGCTTCAGTAGCACGCCTCCAGTGACCTCTGTTCTCTGAGATCTTTTGAACCTGGTCCCACGACAGCCCACAACCTCTCATTTCCTCCTCGCACGACCTCCTCCATGTCACCCTCGGACGTCCAACTCGTCGCTTCCCATGGGGATTCCACTCGAGTACCTGGCCTGACGCGTGATGTCCTCAGTCGGCCTTCTCAGTGCATGCCCAATCCATCTCCACTTCCTCCTGCATATTTGTTGCGTGATAGGTTCTTGGTTGGTTCGTTCCCAGAGTTCCTTGTTGCTTATTTTTTCTGGCCATCTGATCTTCAGCAGCGAGCGTAAGCAGTTGTTGATGAATGTCTGTAGTTTATTGGAAATCCCTTTCGTGACGCGCCAAGTCTCTGAGCCATACAAGAGCACTGACTTGACGTTGGTGTTGAAAATCCGTATCTTGTTCCGCATGCTGAGTGCAGAAGATCTCCACACTGGTTTCAGGCTAATGAACGCCTGTCTTGCTTTTCCGATTCTGACTTTGGCGTCCTCGTCCGTCCCGCCTGTAGTTGAAACAGTGCTTCCTAGATAAGTGAAGGAGGTTACTTCCTTCAAGTTTCTCCCCTTGACGGTGATTGGAGTTTGTTGTTGTTGATGGTGGTGGTGCGGTATCTTCATCACTTCTGTCTTCTCTATATTCACCTGAAGTCCCGTCTTCGCTGCCTCACTGAATCACTAGTAAATAAAAAGTTTAAATCTGACTTTCGCCTTAAAAGCAGATGACGGTTAATCAGCATGTTCTCAATAACGTTATCATTACCCGGAATACTATGTCATCTGTTTGATATTTTCTCATCGATCCTTGTCATTTCCATTGTCTTATGTTTTCACTTACTATAAAGTTCACCTGCTTGTTTCCACGCGAGAAATTAGTTATCACTACAACGATGATATGATGAAACATTTTGATGAAAACAACCATTTTATCAATATTACATTTTAAACGTCCAGTTGAAAACTCCACTATCTTTCAACTAATTATCCTCAAATAAACCAAATTCACATAATGTCTACATTCTCCAGTTGATTTTGATTATTGTATCTGTCTTCCTCACTGTAAACGTCACTTTGCTCTAACACTGAAGCATTTTTCGAATCCAATTTCATACTAATTTTGCATTTGGTTTGCAGCTGAGGTGAAGCATTCCAATCAATCTCAAGTCACTTTGTTCTATGAATCTTATAAACTCTGTTGAGGAGAAAACTGTCGTTGTAACAAAGAACTAATCAAAATAAAAAGACTATAAATGTCTTGTAATCTACTTCACCATTTCCGATTTCTGTGATACCAATTAAATAGTATATAGCTCAGAGAAGAGTATTTTGTATTTAAAAGTTCAATTTTTTCAGTGTATATATCTATATATAAGTGGTTTCAAGTTACAGTGTATGCTCTGTAAACTGTTTTCAAAAATGCAAAGCAGAAAATGCATTACCAAATAAAAACATTCTCAAAGAAACCTGACTACTGATATGTTTCGCGCCCTGTATATTGTGCTTCAACTACCGTTAAGTACATTCTGTAGCAATAGCGAATATATTTTCTTGTTAATATAAGCTTAAAACTACAGCACTATGCGACAATGTAATTCCATATTGCATTTATTTACTTCATGTAGCACCAGTGATACAGTATCACTAACTGAATGATGTTTCCCAAAAAATCACTGCTGGAATCATTCCAAGGTAGTAGTACAACTTCCAACAAATGGTTTTTTACAGTTTAATCATTTTGAATTCTTTGAATTCAGCTGCAGCGGTATTTGTCATACAGAAAAATTAGGTAGTGTAACATCCCAACTACATCTATTGGGTGTTGACTTGATGATGCAAGAATCGATACCAAACTTCTCTCTCCACTTTACGTCAAACGTCTTCAGTACAGTCGCTCTGCCACACGCTACTGTATCACTTTTTCTTTGCATGCAGTCAATAGCTCAATGTTTTGTTGAATCAAAAAATCCTATCATTCTATTATGTTATAGAAATAGGAATAAACACCCGTTAGTTAATGGTCCCAGTGATCCATAAACATGTTTGCTGTCATAAAGTATGTTCATGGTCCCATTGTTAATACTGTTGTTTCATGTTACTTGTATGAAGGAATAAAGATTATCAAGCCCAGACCTAAATTCGCATCCTTTCTCTCTTCAACCATTGTTACAGTTTTGAGTAGTTCAAGCCCATTTATTACCATGCTGACTGACGTCTTAGCCCAAAAGCCTCATAAACGTGTGATGACCATTTTGTATCATTTTTTCTTTCGCTGATCACGTATTCTTAGTTTCACTTATTAACATAAGATCGCAACAAAGTGTTCGTCATTCTTTTGAGATATATCGACTATGTGCTACAAACCACCCATGTAAAAACCCATCCACCTACCTCAACATTTATCACTCAGTAGTTGTAACCGTGCAGCATATGTAGTCATTCAGCTTACCGTTGTGCTTCTATAGTAGAAATTCAACTGCGTAGGTGACCTTCGCAACTCAAGTTATTTTGTTAACCTTCACTTGTGGTTATAATACCAGTTTAATAGGGACACCAAATCAGTGAAAAATACATGCATAAAAAAGATTATTCAAATCATTTTTCGTTTACGTGGTTGGAAAACCATTTTTTATTTTCTCACCTTCCGTTTGATGTTGAAAGGAAACCAAGGGGAGTTCTTTCCCATTTCTTTTGACCACTAATGCATCAAAACACTTTCTTTAACCGTATAGCATCGTTACAAACCAAAACTCACACTTTTCCAGAAAATTTAACTTACGTTCACAAATAGTGTGTAGTCCTCTCACTCCTTATATTGACAAGTTATAACGTATTCGAAAACAGAAAAGTATGTCTTACAACTTGTACATGATTCTATTTTAGAAATGTCAAAAATTATCAGGTGAATGATTGTATTTCACTGTGTGACATTTCTAATGAACTCACTAAGCTGGAATAAAAATCTGCCACACTGCCATACTTTTACTCCTATAATAATGAAATTTACACATATAATGATAAAAACTTTTATTTTTGCAAGATACTGATCTAAATCTAACCAATGTGACCTGAAATACCCTAGCAAACGCTTGTTCACAGATCACTAGGTTCCTGCATTTAATGCTGAAATGATTACTGATTTGGTATGTTTTTCAAGACCCAATAAATCACAATATTATCAAATTAGCACTGAAGATGATCAAAATTTACCGATTCATTTAGAAGTTTTTCACGGTATTATTGTCTGTCTATAATAAAGACTAACAACGGCATACTTTTCGTTGATCATTTTAAATGAGCTTCAGTGAATTGGAAAATTTTTTCATTCTGAAGACAGCAAGATAGTGTCAGAAAACCTAGTTAACCCAGGGGTACAAACTGAGGGACAAAATTAGCATAGGACCTCATGCACACGTGCATCAGTTCAAGCTGCTACACTCCAAAACAGCATGTGTAGAACCAGTAGACAGAAAAAGAAGTGTATAAAGAAAAACCTTTCTCACCAAAAAAATTTGCATTCGCATTTTTGTTCACTTTCAAATTCTAGAGTATCGTAACCGCGGTCACAGCACAAGCGAGAACATGAATTGACTGCATCTTTTGATGTTGCATTACACTGTCTACCAGCAATTCCTAAGTGACCTAAATAAACAGCGTTAAAATGAATAATTAAATTTAATGAGTTCAAGTATATTTAAATAATTACTTCTGAAAAATATCAATTACTTCATTCTCTTTTTGAACTCATTGCTCATTGGACAGTGTGAGCATATCGCATAAAAATTATCTTTGAAATGCTGAGGTAAGATAAACCACTTCTTTAGCAAAATAAAGCATAATTTCTTTGCAGAAATAAACCAGCATCAAAGGCAGTTATATACCACATCTAAAGATCTTACTCATTCTGAAGTACCACAGTATATTTAAACTTTTCTGCCTGTTATTTGATTATCGCACTACTAATTCACACTACTTGGGAAGTGAAGTCGGTAAGATAGTGAAATATTTTATCACTATTTTATCCATGGAACTGCAATCCAGGTAAAATGCAAACACACACCTGGAAAAAAACGCATTGACCTAAGCCACTATACCATACAAAATTACAGAAAAATAAAATTACTAACGGTAGTAAGAAGTTATTCAAATAAATCTGGACAACCTGAGTAGGTAAAGTCTAAAACAGAAAAGAATTATGGGCAGCTGAAAATAGCACGTATGCTAAAGTTTGGTTTCATCTGCTTTTACGTGAGTGAATAAATATTTTTTTTCAAAAGGACTCTGAATGTTTATACTCCCAGTCTTATAGATATCAACCAAGATGATCCCTTCAGAACTCATGTGAACGCTTAGGGACTTATGTTACCCATATAACTACTAATTGTTTATCATTTTGCAGCCTGAACCAACTTCAAAGATACAATACATATATATGTGTAATCACTAAAGATACTGGCTACTTGAAAAAAGGTTTAAGTTCCGACAAAATTAGAGTTTAATCACCGACTAACTACCAGCGAGCCGTTTTGAACCAAACCTTCCAGCTTTGTGGTACTAGAGAAGCTTTAGTAATTGAACTCTCAGCGAAAAATTTGCGTTCACTAGATTTATGTTCCAGATGCTGCAACGCTTAAGAAAACAAAAGTATTAGGAAAAACATGCTTTATTAAATACGGCTGACATCTCCACCCAGTTTGAAAACTGCGAGATTACTTCCAGTCTTAGCATATGCCTCGAATGCATTCCTAACTAGGTTCCTTCCAAAGAAGCTCGACCGGCTAACTAGTTCACTAGTTACTAGCAGGACCTAAGCAAGGGTAAAGAGGGAAGGTTGCTCATAGGGCTAGAAACCATACACCAGAAAGCCAGTAAAAACCAAAGAAAAACATCAAAGCACAGACAAAATATAAACCAACCAAACAAACATTTCCTCCCTGCAATCGAACAGAAAAAATGACACCAGTTAGCAAAAGCCACCGGTAAATCAATTACACGATGCGTCGACTCTCTCTCTTCATGAAAAGGACACAAAACATGCGGACAAGAAGTGTTAACAGAGTGTTTGAAGCTGGCTGTCAAGGCTGGCCAGATTGCCAAAGAGATGAGAAGGTAGAGCATAGAAGTGCTAGGCTGGGAATCTGCGAAAGCAGATTGAATGGAAGTGGACTCTCCAAACTGTCAACTGGAGAGTCAATAATCTACTCCGACGTCACCCAGACGACAACCAGGAACACACTGACTTTCGGAGTGGCTATCGTGATGTCCCCAACAGCATCAAAGGCTCTCTCTCATGCAGTGGGAACCAATGTTCTACAGGATCATAACAGCAAGATTCAACTCAGAAGGAAGGGAAAGTCACAATCATTCAATACTACACTATGCACCTACAAATAATGCAGATGAAGAGAAGAAGGAGGAATTCTACAGACAACTGAAATCAGTACTAGACAAAACCTCAGTTGGCGACATCAAAATTCTAATGAACAATGTGAATGCCGAACTGGGAGCAGACAACTCGGGAAGAGAACTCATCATGGGTCGAGAAGCACTCGGTGAAACGAATGGGGATGGAGAGCTGTTTGCAGACTTCTGCTCATTCAACGATTTGGTGATTGGAGGCACTGTCTGTGTTCAAGTACAAGGATATCCACAAAGCGAGCGACATGGGGTTGATTTCACCGGATGGACACACTACACTGAAAATCAGATCAACTTCATCTCAATGTGAAGAAAGTGGAGACGCAGCCTACTGGACACAAGATCATATCAAGAGGGGGAGCAGATGTAGGTTTACAACACTCACTATCTAGTGCAAGGAACCTACCTGCAAAATCAAGTTGAAATCCCTCACAGAAGCTGGTGATAGGCCACAGTTCACGTCCAACAGTTAGAAGAGAAACTGAAGTACGAAACTTTAAAGGAAATCTTCACGTCAGCCATCAGGACAAAATGGGAGATATAGAGCAACATCCCTGACGAAACCTGTGAGTATGAACACTGGAAGTCTTTGAAAGTTATATGGAAAGAAACTTGTGTGACCGTATTAATAGGGAAAAGGAAGGTGCAAGAAAAGGGATGAATCTTTACGGACACATGGAAGCTGATAGAGCGGGGAGAGGAGGATGGTGAAGCAGAAGATGAACCAGTGCAAGGATGAAAAAAGAGAAGAGGGACTGAGTACAACGTATAAAACACTACACTGGACAAAGAAGTGAAGAAGAGTGCGCTGAAGGACAAAAGACACTTCTACGACACATTGGCAAATGAAGCAGAACAGGCTGCTGGTAGGAGAGACAGAGTCCTGACACATTATATCAAACAACCAGGTTACAGTCTATCTAACAAATATCAACAAAGATGAAGCCGATGAAAGATAGTGAAGGAAAATAAGTCACCACCAAGGTGAAGAAAGAAAGGGAACAATGGGCTGACCATTTGAAAAACTGTTGAATCGACCGCCACCACCACCAGTCCAACCACAGAACCATCAGTGAACACATGTCCCCAACATAAGCAGAAGTCGTGTATGCCATAAGGTTGCTGAAATCCGTGAAGGCAGCAGGACCATATGGGACTTCTCCAGAAGCACTGAAAACAGATGCAGAGACATCAACAGGGAACATGCTCACACCACACCCCTACTGCATAAGGTCTAGAAGGAATGAAGGAAAAGTACATGCTGACTGACTGGAAAAAGGGCTACCCTGTCAAAATCACGAAGATAAGTGACCTGAGTCTTTTCAAGGACTGGCGCGGAATCATGTTCCATCTTTGTCCACCTCAAGCAAATTATTAAGCTGCATCATCCTGCAGAGTCAAAAAGATGCGCTGGATTCAAATTGCAACGCTACTCTACGCATCATCATATAACACAGCATAGAATGGCAATCAACTGGATCTTTTCCTTAGACTCATCGGTTTTGAAAAGTGCCTTCGACAGCATCGACGGAGAAGGTATTTGGAAATTGGCTCAACACGACGGTTTTAGTGTCACAAACCTCTATCAACCTCATTCCACAACTAGATGATATGTGATGCTACATGCCAAGTGATTCACAACTGAAAGCTCATTCATGCCTTCGAAGCGAAGACAGGAGTAAGACAAGGTTGTCTACTATCAGCCATGATCTTCCTGATTGTGGTCGCCTGGATCATGCAACAAACAGTAAGGAGCGAGAGGATGGGCATACGCACGCTGTTTGACCGATGAAAAGAGCCTAGAAGATTTGAATTTCGACGATGATAATGATGATTTGTGTCTAATGTCACACAAACTTGAAGGTCTACAGGCAAAATCCATATTATTTTTCAGAGTTCCAGTGTTCATACTCACAGGTTTCGTCAGGGATGTTGCTCTATATCTCCCATTTTGTCCTGATGGCTGACGTGAAGATTTCCTTTAAAGTTTCGTACTTCAGTTTCTCTTCTAACTGTTGGACGTGAACTGTGGCCTATCACCAGCTTCTGTGAGGGATTTCAACTTGATTTTGCAGGTAGGTTCCTTGCACTAGATAGTGAGTGTTGTAAACCTACATCTGCTCCCCCTCTTGATATGATCTTGTGTCCAGTAGGCTGCGTCTCCACTTTCTTCACATTGAGATGAAGTTGATCTGATTTTCAGTGTAGTGTGTCCATCCGGTGAAATCAACCCCATGTCGCTCGCTTTGTGGATATCCTTGTACTTGAACACAGACAGTGCCTCCAATCACCAAATCGTTGAATGAGCAGAAGTCTGCAAACAGCTCTCCATCCCCATTCGTTTCACCGAGTGCTTCTCGACCCATGATGAGTTCTCTTCCCGAGTTGTCTGCTCCCAGTTCGGCATTCACATTGTTCATTAGAATTTTGATGTCGCCAACTGAGGTTTTGTCTAGTACTGATTTCAGTTGTCTGTAGAATTCCTCCTTCTTCTCTTCATCTGCATTATTTGTAGGTGCATAGTGTAGTATTGAATGATTGTGACTTTCCCTTCCTTCTGAGTTGAATCTTGCTGTTATGATCCTGTAGAACATTGGTTCCCACTGCATGAGAGAGAGCCTTTGATGCTGTTGGGGACATCACGATAGCCACTCCGAAAGTCAGTGTGTTCCTGGTTGTCGTCTGGGTGACGTCGGAGTAGATTATTGACTCTCCAGTTGACAGTTTGGAGAGTCCACTTCCATTCAATCTGCTTTCGCAGATTCCCAGCCTAGCACTTCTATGCTCTACCTTCTCATCTCTTTGGCAATCTGGCCAGCCTTGACAGCCAGCTTCAAACACTTTTTGGACATTCCATGCCCCCATTCTTACTTATTCTTTATCATAATGAAACCGACATTATTGGGACTTCTTTGAGACTTTCGAGAAACTATTGTAGGTTTCGCTAAGTTCGGTTTTTCTAATGAACTAACAAATCTTAAAACTTTCGTTGACCATGAAAGAATTTAAGCGCTAAACTTTCTCCGTTCCACATACAAATTTTTGTGTGGTATTTAATGAAATTGATGTTTCCGGTAACGTTACATGTAATCTCATTTATCACCATTCTGTGACCCATTTCTCAGTTAACTAGAGTTGACATGGTTCGAAGAGGTTTAGGTCAAAACCTAAATTTTCATTTATGTACACAATAATTCCTACAACTGACCGGAAAACTGTATTTT